AGTAAATCCGTGAAGGTTGAAAATGGAAAAATATGACAACATATACTATTTTGATAGTGTGAATGAAATTAGGTCAAGTTAGCTTTCAGTATGCTATTCTGGCACATTTTTCTGTATATTAACAGTCACCTGTTACAGTGAAGCTTATTTAGGTGTGCCAGCTTGAATACATATGTAGAAGAAGTAGTAACTCGCACACCTAGGTCCAATGCATCAATCCATTCTTTAATGATGTCAGATACACATGGCATCACAAGTACAAAGCAACGGTTCGGAACCTAGCATGGTCCCTTCATCAGGCAAGAAGCACAGTCACTGTGCTTCTTGCCTAATGAAGGGACCATGCTAGGTTCTGAAACATTGCATTCGGAACCTAGCATGGTCCCTTCATCAGGCAAGAAGCACACTGACTGTGCTTCTTGCCTACTGAAGGGACCATGCTAGGTACATTGCTTTGTACTTGTGATCCCATCCCATGTGGCGGCGTAAAGATGCAGACTGGGAGGGGGGCCTCTTTAAGACGATCACACCTCTCAGCGCTCCCTCTCTCTCCTCCTGGCCGCTGCAGCTTCAGAGTGGCCGGGAGGAGAGAGAGGGAGTGCTATATACATACTACACAGCAATAAAGTATTAAAATGAACTAGGGTCAGACTAATCCAGCACGTTATTAATCTGAGTTGCCCCACTCATTATGCCGGTCGCTTGCGGCCATATTGAGATGTGGGAGCAGAGGGGATGTGGGGGACAGTGGTAGCAGAGGGGAGATGTGGGAGTAGAGGGGATGTGGGGGACAATGGTAGCAGAGGGGAGATGTGGGAGTTGAGGGGGTTTGGGGGACAGTGGGACCAGAGGGGAGATGTGGGAGTAGAGGGGATATGGGGACAGTGGTGGAAGAAGAGAGATGTGGAAACCGAGGGGATGTGGGGGAGAGTGGTAGCAGAAGGGACATACGGGAGCAGAGAGGATGTGGGGGAGAGTGGGAACTCAACTGCCCTGCTGAAACCCTCTACATATGCCCCTGGTGAGACCCTCCACATCATTGTTGTGTAATGAATTGCTGGGAATTGCCCTCTATAACTAATGTACTCGGTCTAGAAAAAATGGTATCGGTAGATCTCTTCTCCCGTCCACGCCCGTACCACCTTCGCCTGTGTAGGCAAAAATCCTTGCACCGACCCTGACTGCCACTATATGCTAGTGTCCATTATGCAACCTGTGGGTTAATGATCATATATGCTTATTATGTCCAGGGCTGGAATTCCTCCATTGGAGCCTGTAGGTACATTACCTTCAGGGCAGAACACAAAACTCCTATGTTCTTTCTTTCTTTGTCAACTTAGTGTATTGTGATACTGTATAAATAAGTTTATATGAGGTGAATGACTTTCTTTGAATTATAGGAAAAAATGGGGTTGCCAATATCTATAGAGGGTTTAACTACCTTTTTTACTTTTCCCCAATAGGCACAGATCTACTGTGTGTAATAGTGAATCTGCTCTTAATTATAACCATATCTTATTATAAGGAGCTTCATTTCTTAGTATCAAAAATATTTTACTTACAATATTAAGCTTATTAGAAAAGCACACCAATACATTAAATTGCTCTCAAAGCATAAGGGCTATCCACTAATATTATCAATGGTTAAAAAGTATTTCTGGAAAGTAACATAGACTGGCGCTTAATGTGTCCTTAAAGCATCTACTATGGCTGCTATTTATCACAGTCCATGAAAGGAGCAGCTTTTGCAATTTCATTTTTATAAATGGGAGATCTCCTTGGCATTAGCATGAAATATGATCGCATGACAATAAAAGGGAAACTTAAGGTCGGACCCCATAGATTTTCTTTTAAGAAAGCAGGAAATAGGACTTGTGGATGGGTTTTCTATTCAAATCGTTACCAGCTGGGTATCCCTCAGCCCTGTCTTTCCAAGGACTTGTAAGAAATGAAAAGGTTAAATGATGAAAAAAAAACCTCTGCAACATATGATATTCCTGAGCTCCCCCTAAATACTGCAGTTCACATGTGGGAGAAACAACAGATCCCTCTAAATAAGCCATGATTGAAAACAGGCAAGATTGGTTATTATGCAGAAGGCATCTGATGATAATTATATATTATTATACACAATTTAGAAATGTTTGCTGTACTGTTTACTTTCCAGCTATATACTACAGTCTCATCCACACACAAGCATAGCTGGAAAGATATGTATTTGCTTGAAACCACTAGTTTGCATAACTAATAATTTAAATCTAGACTTAAGATATACATTATGATCTAAAGTTTTGTGAGAAATCTAACAAGATTTGAAAACTGCATTGCAGTAAAGATCAAGCACTACCATATTCTTTTCAGTGGAACCCAGGCCTGTGGGACATCCAATATCTCCAAAAGTCCCTAGGAATAACCAAATCTGACCAATTCCTAGCAGCGTGTCACCATTCTTCTATTACATTTCTGCACTGGAAGGAAAGCTCCTGAAACCGTTACATTATATATATATATA